GTTCTTTTGGGGTCCCCCTGAACCTTCCCCTCTCTCAGTTCCCCGGGGGCGGGGCTGCAGCCGGCCCCCGCAATCCCGCTCCCCCCCCGATCTCGGGCAGAGCAGCCCCCTCTATAACCCACCCCATCCCCCAGGCCGTCCCACCCGCTCCTGGACCAGCGGGCCCCCCACAGCGCCTCCTTCGGCTCCGTCAGCGACTGGCTCCAGGCCATCAACATGAGCTGCTACGAGGAGAACTTCAGCTCGGCCGGACTCAGCTCCTTCGAACTCCTCAGCCAGATCTCCAGCGAGTGAGTGACCCCCCCGGCGTGGGGCGGGAGTGAGGGGCACCGGCAGAGTTGGGGGGGGGCAGGGCTGGGCTAGCAGGGGCTGCGGGTAGGGAGTGAGGGGCACCGGCAGAGCTGGGGGGGCTGCTAACCCCCCATCTCTCTGCCCCCTCAGGGACCTGCTCCGAATCGGGGTGACCCTGGCTGGGCACCAGAAGAAGATTCTCTCCAGCGTCCAGAACATGCGAATCCAGAGCAAAGCGGCCCCGTCCGGAGGGGTGGCCGGGAGCCGATTCTGATCCGGTTCCGGGCTCACGTCCTGCCTGGTCCCCCAGAGCTGGGAACGAACCGGACCCTGGGTTACTAATGCGACTCTGACTTCGCTGCATGGGCCGGTCTTGAACCAGAAACTTGGGGGACCCCTGCCCCCCCCAGCCCCTCAGGGCTTGCACTTATTCTATCTGAGCAGGGAGAATATCGTGGTTTGCAGGGGGCGTGGCCTATTGGTTGACGGTTCCAAGATGGTCTAGACAGTATTTGGTCCTGCCATGCGGGCAGGGGACTGGACTCGATGACCTCTCGAGGTCCCTTCCAGTCCTAGAATCTATGAATCTATGGCCGCAGGTCCAAAGATGGCCGATGGGCTCTTCGGTCAACTGCCAAGATGGCCGCTCTTGCTTGGGGTTCCCAAGAGGGCCGCTCTTCCTTGGTTGCCGGGTAGCGCTCAGGACCCCGTCCGGTTCCCAGGACGGCCGCCCCTAGGGGGTCTCAAGATGGTCACCACTGGTTGGGGAGACCAAGATGGTTGCCCTTGGGGGACCTTCGATGGGGAATCCAAGATGGCCGCTCTTTCGCCAGAAGCCTCCTCCCTCGCAAACAGTTGAGGGGCAGTGATGTAATCAGGGGGTTCCCTGGGAGGGGGGGAGACCCCCCCGGCATCTACTTGAATCTCTAGGCCCCTCCCCCACCATTGGGGGGGCCTCGGGAAGGGGGGCTATAAACTTGGGGCTCTCCCCTCCCCCATAAAGCCAAAGAGTGACTATGGACAGCGGTGATGTCATGGCCGCCCAGTGATATCATAGACCTGGGATGGCCAGGAACAGGGGGTGACATCATCCAGTGACTGCCTTGTGATGTCATCAGGAGCAACTGTGATGTCATCACATCGGGAGCCCGTGATGTCATCGTTGCCGGCCCGGGATGTCATCATTCGGCAGCCGCCCGCCCTTGATGTCATGAGGCCATGAGGTCGTCGCAGCAGGACGTTGGGGGGGGGCTGCTCTGTGGGGTCATCAGCGGGCGCCGGGCTTTCAACTTCATATTGAAGGCAAATTTAAGCGGGGGGGAGGTAATTTCCAGCCCCTCCAGGACTGGGACAGCTTGTGGGGTATCGGACTCCCGCTCCCCCCAGAGCCGAGGTAGATTTGAGGTGTCCCCGCCGCCCCCCCCCAAATAAAGTGGGATTCACTCAGCTCTCTAAGGAAGTGGACCGAGGTATCACATGGGGGGGGGGGTCGATTTCACCTGGGAGTGGAGCCTCAGAGGGGGAGGGGTCTTGTTCAGCCCCGCCCCCTTGTGTGCAACTGGGGGGCTTTATGCGTTGGTAGGTTGGGGGGGGCACAGTGCGAGCGGTGAGACAGTAAACCGGGGGGCCAGGAGCCCCGGACTCCTGGGTTCTCTCCTGGCTCTGGGAGCAGGGTGGGATTTTTTTTCACCAGCTGCTGTTTATGTGACCCCCAGCAGCCGGGGCAGGAACAGGAAGTCGGGAGGGGGGAGGAGGAAGGAAGCTGCCACCCAGGCCAAGCCCCACCCTGTGGACAATGGACAGACTGACCCAGGGACTCA